TGGGCCGCTGCTCTGTGCTGATAGGGCCACGGGTTGAGAACTAGTGGTTCAGGCATAGGAATGCCTCAGCTATCTCCCCACGTACCCCTGGCCTGGCCCAGCCCTGACATACTCTCAGCCTCTATGGAACATTCCCTGCAACAAGGGCTCCTGCAAGGGATGGGAGCCAAGTTTGCACATTCAGTGTCTCAAGGAGGCCCACCTGTACAGGGATATTCATGGGGGAGAGCCCTTATATGGCTTGTGTGCAGTTGAGAATTCCTCCCATTATGTCTGGCTCAGAAGTGCTTTCAGTCCTTCATTTTCACTGGCAAAAAATGTACTAACATTTTTAGGACAAAACACAAACATTTTTCTAAAACATTCTATAATTCACTATGCCTGAGGGAAAGAGGGCTTAGCTAGAGTGTAGGGAGGAGACAGGTTATGTTTGAGGAATATTATCATATTATTTGAGTTATGTAAACGGAGCCTCAGATAGTATGGCAATGGGGGCCTTAAATATTTTTAAAAGGCAATTTCAGGAAAACGTCTGGACAGCTGAGCCACCAGCTGGGGCACAACGGCAGAGTCTTTTGGCAATAATCAACATTTTTATAATTGTTCACATGTTCAAAGCACTGTAAAGACTTCCAATTAATTCTCACAACAGCCCTGCAAAATAAGAATTCTTATCCCTCTTTTACTGCTGAGGACAGAGACAAAAAGGTGAAGTTACCTGCCTAAGGTCACCCAGCGTTAGAGGAGACTTTAGAACTCAGGACCCCATTCTCCCCAGCCCTGCAGCTGTTCCTCGAGACAACACTGCTTTTCAAAAGGCTCAGGAATCTCCTGTGTACCATTCTGTAAAGCAGCAATCTTCTTAAGAGAAGATTTAAAGTATCTGATATAGGCAACAACATTTGTAATTGAAAATATAAAGTAAGTATTCTATCACACAGCCCTATGTTGGCCAAGCAGCCATTCCCCCCATCATATTGCTTATTGGCAGAGCATTTGGGTCCTTGTATGTGGATAGATATTAATCCTAACCTTCCCTTGAGATGGATTCAGGCTGTTGACCCTCTTGTCTCCTGTGTTTTCCCCAGTCATTGGCTGTGCAGAAAGCCTGCAGAATCAGGTCAATTTTCATTGAAAATCTTATAGAATGAAGCCCTGCAGCTGAGATGTAGTTGAGCTGCATGCTTTTGCTGAAGGCTAGCATGACCCACCCTCACTAATTACTCCTTGACTAGTGGTGTAAATAGAAAATGCCTCCAGGCATTGAGAGTGTAATAGTGTCTCTCGTTAAAAGGCTCTGTAAGGACAGGCTCGTGCTATAAGGGTGTGATGTGATAAGAATGTGTGTGTTTATATAATGTATTTAGAGGAAAGCACCAGATTTTTAAGTTCTTTGCTGCTACAACTTGCTGTTGGAAGCATCTATTCAAACCTCCCAAAAATCACACTGTGGGATACAGCCCCATCCCCCACAAACAAAACCATGTGGGACACTGACCCCTAAAATGAGGAATATCTTTTCCTCCTCAACATCCCCTTAAATAGCCTCTTTCCCCTATATACTTCCACTATACCCTTAATGCCCCTCGCTTGCTGCCGATAGTCCCTTTTACTCGCCAAAACTCCCCTATAACTGCCCAAATCCCACCCCACCCATGTCCCCATCTTCCTCTCTCTCCATTACCCCCAAATGTCTTCCAGTATTTTCCCTACCTCCCTGAATACTAAGCAGGGGAAGCTTCCAGGTTACCCTAGCAGTCACCTTCCCCAGCCCATAGCTCATGTATGTTCTCTCTCACTCAGGTATGGTGCATTGCCACTAATTGGATTTAGCCTGCATCTGAGGAGGGGGTTGGAGAAGAGTAAAAGGGTGAGAGAGAAAGAGACCAGAACAGATAGGGCACGGGTTACCTCCTCCTGGAGGAGTGTGAGAGCAGCAGCAGGAACATGAAGTGCACTGAGGGGCTCTGCAGATAACTGGATAAGGGAAAGGCACAGAGCAGCATAAACACAAGCAGTGGTATGCAAGTGGACTGGAGGATGAGCAAACATAGCACCCCTGGGGTGACATGGGGTATTCCTACCCAAAAGTGCAGAATGCTGTAACCTTCACTCTGAAATGTCACCATCACATGCCTTGACAGGGCCCTGCAAATAAAATACTTGTATTTAAAGTGTTTGAATATTTTTCCACAGGCAATTTTCTTATCTGAAAATTATCTACTTTCAAGGTCAAAATGTACTAATTTTGTGATTTTTCTACAGAAATGGTACAATTACACCTTTCACAGTGAAATTTTAACACATTCAGATTTGAGTATTGTTCAGAGTTTTCCCTGCTCTAAAACTTTATGTAAAAACCCCCTCTAATGTATTGGAAAATGAAGTGAGCTTTCAGTTTTGAAAAAAAAGATCCAAACTGTCTGTTTTTGGAGTATGACCGTACCTGTACAATCCCAAGTTAACCAGTGAAGAGAGAGACAGAATGGAGAAAATTAACGTTACAGAGAGTATATCCCATGTTGAGCCTCTTCATTTCCATGTCGCTCAGAACCACAATGGTCTTGCTTGAGTAAGATATCTAGAGAGATGTTGATTTTTTTACAAGGTCAGAAATGATTAAATAATGAAAATGTTTGTCCTGAGCGTGAGCTCTTTATGTAGCAGAACTGCTAGAAAAATTCCATTCAACTGGCACATGCTACTTCTCTGAAGGCATAAGTGTCCACCAGAAAGTCACATTCCTGAAGGGTGTCTAGGCCTCACAAAGTATAAGCTCAGAAAGACGCCCAAGGATTTCACTTCTCCCTGCTGCAGGCACAATCACAAACTTCACTGAGAAGGGAAAAAGCATGAAATTGTGAGCCATCAGTGCCTTTTGCCAACAGCTAAAGGAGACACTCCCTTGGGGGGAAGCGGGGCGGGGGGACGTTGACAACTTTAGAAACTTGATACAGTATAGTTAAATGAATCTGTATTTGTACTTTTCTACTGACAAGAACACCTCTAAATCCCTAACAGTAGAAGTGGTTGAACTATCCATTACAAATAATAGTAAGAATTCAGCTCCTTTTCCGCATTATTTATATTACAGTAGCACCTGGAGGCCTCAGGGCCTCATTGCGCTGGGTGCTATACAAACACGAAGAATTGGCAATCTAATTTTAAGACCAGATGCAAACAGCAGGAGGGAGGACCAGACTAACAATGACCAGATCAGGTGGTTACATACGATAGGGGTCATGCAAATCAGTTACATCAGTTTAATAAAAGGATTTTTTAATCTTCTGCCTTTGCTCACTTTTAATTTCATTTATTTGAACCTACATCAAATTCCATTTGTAATCTCTGCATATTTCCCTTTCCCCCCCTAAATTTATCCATGCCTTTAAAAAAAACAAAAAAAACCCAAACCCATCTTTGCCTATTTCCATATTTTTAAGACCTCTCACAGGAATAATAGAACTCATGACCTGAAGTACTTAGACTTTAGACACAAAACCATTAGTAAAATCAGGGTTTCTGTTTGGAAAATATTTAAACAGCCCTACCCAAAATTGCAATTACTGTGGGCATAGGGAAATTCACACAACTGTTGCATTTTAAAGTGAATTACCCTGAGGTTTCTGTTTTTAGAGACTTGGATTTTGTAAATGTGATTTTACATCTTATTATATAGTTGGAAAATATAAGAATAGGCAGATGTACAAAAGCACAAATGGGAGGTAGGTGCCCAACTCCTATAGGATTACAGTAGGAGAGTTAGGTGCCTCACTGCCCTCTCTGCCCCGTAGTTAATAAGGCTCTGCTTATATTTTGATAATTTTTATTCTGTGTTTTCAGTTAATAGACAGTTGTACTGTACTTGGATCCCAGTGACTCAGGGCAAGCCTTACATTCCGTTCAAGTAACCATTTGGGCCTTGTATTTTTTGGACCCTATTGATCAACAACTTCAGTATATTCCTATAATCTCAGCAACTCATCCTAATTCCCCCATGGGAGAAGGAAGGAGAAAAACTCACGCATCTGACACCCCTTCACATAAGCTCTTACCTGGGGCCTTGCAAAGCACATGGTAGTCCCTGCATTCATCTCAAGCAATGCCCAACTGTTACACCTTTGTTTAGACCAGGGTGGCCAAACCGCGGCTCTTTTACACTTAAAGTGTAGCTCACCACTTCTCCACCGCACCATTCTCCGCTTACCAGACTGAGGAGGGGTAGCTTGGGGATTCTGCCCTGTGGCGGGGCTAGGGGCTTCTGCCAGTGATGACTGGTGCCTGCTAAAAAGGGGGGGTATAATGTAAGATTTACACCCCCCTTTCCTCCAGTGGCCCCTCCCTGTGGAGAGACAGCAGTAAAGAGCTGAGATCTGTGGGAAAGGGCCTCTGCTTTGGTTCAGTGGAGAGAGGCAGCAGCAAAAGCAGTGGCTCTCCATGCGGCTCCCAGCTGTTTGCTGCTGCCTCTCCCCATGGCCACAGCTCCAAGCTTGCGGGCTCCAGCAGCTGCTGGGCAGGGAGGTGGCCCAGCAGCACCATGTGACCAAGTGGAGCCCGCAAACCCTGGCAAAAATCTGGTGAGGTATCTGACCCCACGTGACCACACCCACACATCTCCTCTGCTGGGAAGGGGTCTTGGGGTTTCAGCCCTGCAGAGTGAGCCTGCCAGGGCTTGGGGCTTCGACCTCGCTCCTGCTGAAGGCCCAAGCCTGAGCAGGCAACCCCCAGGGGAACAAAGCCCCTCCCACCTCTTCAGGGCTGAAGCCCTGAGCCCCAGCAGGTGCTCCCTGGCTCTTGAACTTCTGAAGATTGTCATATGCAACTTGGAGGGTCAGTAAGTTTGGCAACTCTTGGTTTAGACCATTAGAGCTGCTTGGAGATCATGTTCCAAAATCATCTCAGACTAGCCAGGTCTGGCCATAAAGGGTGAAGTCCACTTTAGCCACACTAAAAGCTCAGAATCCTTCAGGAAAATAAGTGATCCCCTGTGAGTCAAGACATTCCACTGAAGCACTCATCCACAAAGGACCTTTATTACCAGACTAAGTTCCTTGGAAGAGATCGGATTTCCTTACAGCTTTTTGTTCTCCTCTTTGAAATTCGGGGACTGGATAAGTGCAGAAAGGTTTTAATTAGACACTGAAGGGTTAAAATCCATTGCTGATGTAATAACCTGGTATATGGATTTGTGTACAGGCCCAAAGACCAGAGTTTGGTCAAGAGGTCAGAGGCCTAGCAAATAGCGATTAGCTAAGAGAAAGCAAAATAACCAAAGATAACCTTGTTTTTGTTAAGATATGTCTGGTCAGCAAAACGCCAGATGTTGGGGCAATAATTGTGTCTTATTCAAAAGTTGCAAATAGAACAAAGAAGCCCTGTTTCTGTTGTGTTAGTTTATTCTGTAGGGAGATGTTCTTCCCACACATCCGACCTTGAGTTTATGAAAGGTTGGAACATGTCAGTATAAGATATGGCCTCCTCCCATCTCCTTTTCCCAGGAACCAATGCCTGCCTTAAAACACAAATAAGCAACTTGAAAGACAATCTTTATTGACATATACTTTCACTGTTTCTTTGCTTTTACCCATAGATACGTATCTGTTGAACAATCAAAGGAGCTACTTCATTTCTATGGACCCCAAATTGAATTCAACATACATTTATTAAAGTACTAATTAAATATTAAATGTTAATTTGTTAACATTAAGACCATGGGCAGAGACATTATGTAACCTTTTGACCATTGGCTACTGTGCTATCATGTCTTGCAGCTAGACCTATCCGTGGGTGTGCAACTGCCTACCCCATCATTTTCTCTGCCCATGGAAAATCCATATATTCCATTGTAATCAATTAATTGACAGTGTGTCTGAGCCTAATAAGTGTGGTGACACCCTGTCAGCGCCGTATGTAATAAACTCCTATGCTTGACCTCTACACGATGTGAATTTATGTCCTTCAGACGCTGACAAACTTATGAACTCTTGTCACTTGACTCCAGTTCAGCTATTGAAATTATTCTGCTCAAAACCAGCATTGCGAGAACGAGATGGATTATTTCTTTATAGCAAATTACTTCAGAATAGCTTAAATCTATAGAGCTTTTTTCAGGTTCTTTAAGAGACTTTGTCACAAAGCTTTTTCATTCACTTAATAGAGATGTACCTCAAATTTCTACACAAAAGGATGATTAATGCAAGTGTCAAGCAAAGATCTTTTAGTTCAGTCTACCATAGGCTAATCTTTCAGGTCACATTTTAGCTAACTCTCTCAAATTATAAACAAATTATGAGAATAGCTTCCACCATCAATGTTTTATTCCCTGCATCAGCTTTGCTCAGCATGGACTCTCTTGTGAAATTGAGGTTGATTATCGTTAGGTATATAACAACTTTCTAGGTGTTCTTGAGTAACAGTTCTTATCCTGTCCCACTGCTGGAGCCTGAAATCAAGTCCTGATCCAACGCCACTGAAATCAATGGGAGTTTTGCCATTGACTTCAAGAGGAACAGAATCTTGCCCTATTTGCCTGGACTACCTCTAAATGCCTTATCTATTCCAGCAGAAAACCATGCATATTTAGGAGCTTTGGTGCCAGTTCAGCAAAACATTTAAGCACATACACCATGAGACTTAAGTGCTTTGCTGAAATGATGTTTCATTTAATTGTTTAGAGTTGGACCCTCCAGAATTTCAGATTTCTACTTCCTGAACGCAAATTTCAAAATGGGGGTTAATTGCAAAAAACTGGATTTAAAAAAAAAAAATCCAATGTGACTGGCTAGAGTGGCCTCTTACCTTATTTGTTTGCCCATAACAGTGAGCTGGTCAGCTAACTTGGCAATTTAAATTTCATTGATGGCTATCAGACAGCTTAGCAATAATAGGCATCTAACAGGCCAATAAGGGCCCTCTGATCCCACAGCTAAAACAAAGAAATCATTTGAGCTACTGCATCAGTAGGGCAACCATCTCCCCTGCCCCCCATCTTTTGTTTAAATGTTGTTACATTACTGCGGATGCCAAATGCAGCAACATAATGGAACATACAGGAAAGTACAACTGATCATGCTGTTCACTTATTCAACTAAAAGATTTTTGCTTCAAGGTGAAGTTAACAGCACATACAATTACCAGCTTGTACCTAATAGCTTCCAAAGATTTACGTCTAAACTAAGATTATAACTTGTCTGCCAAAAGGAGAGTTCATTCTCCCACTTTTCTTTTTAATTTCAATTCCCAAAAAAGTAAAAGCTGAAAAAGTTAATCTCCATCTTCACCAGGGAAGCATTAAACTAGGCTTGTTTCCTCTCATGTCTGTGGACAAGGCACACACTGTACTATATGTCTCACTGTACTCAGCGAGAACAAAAGCAAACCACGTGTCCAGTAAAGCTCAGAGTGACCCAGAGCCTGAGCCAAATTGCGAAGGATGCCAAACAGGTTTTTCTTTTCTCCTTTTACTAATCCCTATAGTAAGTCAAAATCAAACACTTTAATGCCTTGTACTTCTTTTGTCCCTTTGCCCTCCTCCTCTCTTTGCATCAGGGAGGAAGGATGTTCGAGTGGTTAAAGCAGGAAGGTGAAAGGCTGGGTAACTGGGTTTCGTTTCTGACTTGCTGTGTGACCTTTGGTGCAAAGTGTCAAAAGTACTGTCCAATTTGGGGTGCTTTTCAGGATCTGACTTTCAGAGGTGCTGAGTGCCTGTGACTCCAGCTGAAGTCAGCAGGAACTGCAGGTTCTTAGCATCTCTGAAAATCAAGGTCTACCTGTTTAAATTTGGGAAGCCAAAAAACTAAAGCAACCTTAAGTTGAAGCTACTTTTAAACTGTGGTCCTTACCCTTCTGAGGACCAATGGAGCCTGCCTTCCCATGATGGGAACTACACCCTCTCCTCCAATTGGCCCTCTTACAGTGAACTGCTAGCTCCCACCATCTCACTGAATGCTAGGAACCAACAGATTCTGGACACACATACCTGCATGGGGGAAGACTGACATGAGGAAAAACTGGGTTGGGCAGATAGTAACATAGAGCCCAACAGTGGCACTGTACTGAAGAAGCAAGAAGGTGTAGGTGAGCTGGGAACACAAAACTCTCCACCTACTTGGAAAGGAGGGGTATCCCCTGTGATACTAATCACCCAATACACTATTGTAACCATCTTTGTACAAAATATGCCTTGTGAATTATCATTTGAAAATTAATAATTCAATGGCCAATAACTTCACGGTGAAATGTATGTAGCAACATTATATGTAAAGGTATGAAATCCCCCTGTATGATGATGATAGCACATGTTCAAAACCACACAGCCCTGCCTAGGCAAAAGTTGTTAAACAGGTCTATCCTAAACAAAGGAATGTGCGTGTACCTCAATTTACCTGAAAATAGTAAACAGGATCCACAAGATAGCAGGAGGAAGATATAGCAGGAGACAAAGCAAATTTGCATTTCAGCAAACATAGGCAAGGAGAGAGAACATGGAGCCCTCCTTCACCAGCAGACTCCATGTCACCTTCTTTACTGCTTGAGCCTTGAATAAACTTTACTTTGAAGGGTAACCCTCAGAAGAATCCACTTCAGAGGCTCACTGGACTATAAAAAAAAGGGGGCAGAGAACCCCAAGTTCTCTCTTTCACCTAAGACGACAAAGGGACCAGCACCTTTGAACCTCTGGGAGAGATCCTGACCAAGGAAAGGATAAGTCATCATCTTGCTGGAAGACTGTGGGTGAGAAAGGCCAACTTAAAGAAAGCGTGAACCAAAACTTGCTAGATTAAATTTGACTTGTAGATGTGTGTTTTCACTTTCATTTGCTTGTAACCATTTCTAACTTTTATCTCATACCTGAATTCACTTAAAATCCTATCTTCTTTTGTTAATAAACTTGTTTTACCTTTAACTTTAACCAATCCAGTGCTGTGTTTAAACCAAACTTTTGGGTAACTTCTTGTCTGAACATTAACGAGTATATTGAAATGTTTCCTTCTATACATTAAAGTCATTCTATTTTACATACTCAATTTTACATACTTTTGCCATGCATTTACTGATTAATACATTAGACACTTCTGCCTCGAATGAATCATACCAAAAGCAGAAGTTGATAAACACAGTGTAACCTCTGCAAACTTCATTTCTTTTGGTCTGATTACCTCTGAGGCAGAGAAAAGAGTATAATTGCTCCGCAGAGGTGGCTGCCCATTCATTGATGATGGGGTGCTGTCTGACACCAGAACAGTGGGATTTTTATTTTCATGGAATGGGAGATAGTGATACACCAAGAGTCGGTGAATTGTCCCAGTCCTGAGGAGAGGTGGGTGAAGGCACTAATGTTTCACTTCAAACCTGTATTCATGTCTAGACTCCATTAAGGGTCTCATCCTGGGATGTGAGTTATGGGTGCTAAGCACCCCTGTGGATCCAGATCCTATGTCACAAAAGAACTGAGCTAGGAGATAAGTGGCCAACATACCACACCACAAAACCAATTTGGCATGATAGACCACTTCTGTTCAATAACAGGACTGGCCTCTGGTACTGCAGCAGTATAAGGACAAATCACACTGTGCCTATAAACAATATACCCGAGTCTAGAGGACCCTAAAATTCAATGCCAAATGAGTATAAAATCAGCAGAGCAGTAGGAAAGATAAACAGGAAAGCAGGCACACAGTTGGAAAAGAGACTAGAAGATGAAGACTGAAGAGTAATAGGGTGAAGATTAAGTTCCAAGGCATACTATTTTCAAAATACCTACCAGTGCCAGGACCAATTCCTAGAGACTCTCAACCGGAGTTGGCTACCTAACTCCATCAGGCACCATGGTAATCTCACCCCTATAGATTACTCTTGATGGCATCAGAGGCCAGCAAGTGTTGCTGAAAGAAGACCTGTATCCTGTGCCATGCGTCATCCTGTGCCCGGGCGTGCTCTCTCCACTGCCCTCCCCACAGCATGTATCCCCCAGTCAGCTTATGAATTGAGGCCTGACACAAAGGCAAATACGGTGGCTCCAGGAGGTGTCCTGCCCCAGGATAGCAGTAAAACTCCACATCTCGCCCGCACTGCCGAAGGCAGTGAACAACTTCTCGGCAGTAGAGCTCACTTTTCCAGTTTCTGTCATCCTGCGCTGATAAAAAGAGGAGCTTGGCGGGGGATTTCTCTACTGGAATGCGGCAGGCCCAAGTGGCTGGGTCCCTAGGATCATCCAGGACTTCTGAAAAATCTATTATTCCAGAATCACCGACAGCCTTCATCCTCCCCAAGTCATACGGATGGGGAGGAATAGTGAAACCATTAACACGCAGGGGGATAAAGGAATTAACACCACATCCAGAAATGCTGACAGCTGCTTGGATGCCTGGCAGAAATGTGGCCAGAGAAAGGGCTAGATCTGCCCCTTTAGATAAGCCCAAGACTCCGATCCCGGTACCTTTCACCTGCAACACAATTATGGAACAACCATCACCATATGCCATCTTTCCCTTAGACGACTGTAACCATCTCTGTCCAGGCTCCTTATCTTTCCCTGTGCCAGACCAATCAATCCACCAAAGTTTACCACTCCTTCCTTTCCCTCTGCTCTCACATCACTCCCTCAATCTTTTCATTGGCTTCCACTATCCCAACTTCAAACTCCTCAGTCCCTCTGTTTCTGTTCCCATGTCTTTATTCCATCTCCAACACCGTACACCCGTCCCCATCCTCTCCCTGGACAAAGCCCTTCTCCTCCCCCCACTGTTGGCTTCAAGCTTGTGGTCTTGCTGCTACTTCATTATGCATGGTCTCCAAGAACCCTCATCTCCATCTTAAAAACCCCTCTGGAAACCCACTTCTTCCATCAATCCTTCCTGGGCTGATCTCCTTTCCATTGATTTCTCAGACCCTCTGGAGGTTGCTGGCCTGTCCCCCAGCCTAGGAAGGACTAACACCATGCCCAGAGTCCATTCAGGCCCTTTTTTAAGGGCACTATTCCACTATCTTTTAAGCTTTAATAGACAAAGAATTAGAACATGCCCTGTTTTAAGCAGTTTAGCATTCCTGTAACTCCCAGTTGTGTTTTCAAATGTGTAACTTTATATAATAATTGCTACTTTGCATAGCACCACGATAGTGACTTTCCTCTCAGGAAGACAAAGTGCTGTGCAAATCATTCATTAAGCTTCCCAGCTCCCTGTGAAGTAGTCATTCTTGTTCCAGTTGGGGGAAATGAGAGCCAAAGATGTGACATACACCCCAAATTAGTATCAAAACTGGGATTAGAATTCACGCATGCCTGGCTCTCCATACTGTGCTCAGTCTTTCCGACTGCATGGTCTCCTTCCACCTCTCTCAGAAACTTAAGTGTATTTATTTACATTTCAATTTAGGAAAGTGTGATATAGCGTCCAGTTAGAAAGGCACTGTAATTTGTCTCATACCTGTTGTTGCTTCCGCAAAAACTCCACAGCCTCCCCAAAATAGTCCAGTTCGAGGATCTCTGGGAAAGCTGGGATATCTTCAAAGGCTGCATAAGCGAGAGCTAATGTAACAAAGCCCCTGCTAGCCAAAAGACTTGCTCTGTACTCAACAAGACCTCCTCCAGATCCATACAAGTCGATAAGTCCTGGGAATGAACCAGATCCTGAAAGGAAGGAGACCACATTCACTGTGGAGGAGTCTTACAGCTGTCTAGTAATATTTCCACTGCACAAAGTCATACAGTAGGTCTTGACAGAAAATCACTCCGTTTTTTTTTTTAAACTAGATTCTCTCTCTCTCACACACACACACTTTCTCTCAGGGCTTGTCTAGTTGGAGAAATTGACTGGCATACCACAGTGGAATAACTAGTGCCAGCATAACTCCCCAGTGTGAACACTATTTTGGAATAAAAATTACTTTGTTGCAGACTAATTTACTCCACTTTGGAAGTTATTAGTTATATACTGTTGGAGTTATGCTGATCAATTTTCCCCATGTAGACAAGACCTAAAACAATCCTGGGGCCCTATGCTCCCACCACAAGATACAAGTGACTTTAGAGGTGAAGTCAGTGGGAGATATTAATATTCTGCAGCAAGATACCAAGGACTTCTGAAATAAATTATAAGAAATAAAAAGCCCACACCTCCTCTTTTGTCTGGTTCTCCTACAATATGTACTATATGTCCCCTTCAGTAAGAAGAAGGATAAAAATGACTTACCTGTGATTGTGTTCTCAGAAGATATGTTTATGAATTAACAGATTTTCTTCCCTGGATTCCATATTCCTCATGCGTCACTGATGAGAATTCCCTTAGTTTAGAATTTGATCTAGGCATTTGTAACATGCTTGTCTAACATACAACAGCACCTTGATTAGGGCCTACCCTAAAGCCTTGTTTAATGTGTATTAAAGACTTACATTATTTGTACTTCAGTCGGTTATACTGAACCAATTGAAGCACAAACTATTCAATGCATTCACACTACCCATGCAGAATTGGGCACGTTTGGCCCTGAATAGACACTATCACTGATCTGAACCAATTCTACTCTCTTCTGGGTGGCTCTCTCACAGTTTCTGGGACCTTTCCTATGGTTCCATGATCTGATCAACCCATCACTGTCATGCCCAACTGCTTTCACTAGGAAACTTTAAAAAAAAAAAAATCAGTGGAAGCATTTTTAACAGGCTTTGATATCATAAAAACTTGTGTCTACAAAATTAAAAATTTTGGTCAATTTGTGAGCGCTCTTTAAGCACAGCTCCAGGCAAATAACCACTAAAAATTAGCAACAGCTTTCCTCGGCATCCCAGCCTCATCAGTGTCTCTGTACACAGCCTTGAATCGAGGTCTTTAATCCTCAAATCTTGCCACTTTTGTTTGTCCCCACGATTCCACCTCTCCATCAGTACTCCCAGGCTGCCTTATTGGTCTGCAGGACAGGGACCTCCTGTGTCCTTAAATATTCCTCCCCATTTCCATCTGTATTTCAAGACCCTCTCTAGGTGTATCCTCCTTATTCCCTCTTCTAGCACATCTCACCCCAGTCTGCCAATCCCCATTATCAGTCTTCCTTAATCCCACAACTATTTCCAGTTCCAGTCCCACGAAACACCAAACACCTAGCACCTTACGTTTCTGGTTCCCCTCGTATTGATTCCAGATCCTCATTCTGATCTCTCAAACTTCAAACCAGCTGGCAGCCTTTAAACATCCCCAGCCTCCTTCAAGTCTATTTCACCTCCCTTACGCCTCTCCCGACTCCTGACAAATCTAGACTTCAGCCATTCCCTCAAGTCCCAGTTCTCCCAGAACTCTAAATTCTTCTCTTCTTGGGAACCACAACTTTGCTTTCTTTTTCCTGCCTTGCCTATCCCACCCCTTTCTCTTTGCACTCCCCTCTCAGCATTACTACTGTCCCTTCAGAAAGCTTTCCTCGTCAGGTATTTCAAAGGAGTTAAAAGGTTTTCCACTGATGGTAGGTAGGATTCGTGTAGGGAAGGTGAGCCATAGTCAATTAGGCTCTCCCACCTGTTTGTGTCTCCCCACCCCATCACCACAGTATACAAGTATGTCACATACATTGGTGAATTTATCCTTTTTATTTCCCATTTTACAGACAGAGAATTTATGCACAGAAGATTAAGTGACTTGTCCAAGGTCACTAGGAAAGACTGTGGCAGAATTCACATCACCTGAGTCCCAGTCCAATGCCTTCACCACAGGACCATCTTTTCTTATTCTATTATTTGTATTACAGTAGCACTTAAAAGCCCCAGTCAAAACTCAGGAACCTATTGTGCTAGCACCATGCAGAGGAGTTTAAAAAAAAAAAAACACAGAACCCTCACTCCACTGCCCCAGAGCCCTCACTCCACCCCCAACCCTGCCTCCATCTGCTCTCTCTGCTCTGAATGGAGCGGCAACCAGAAGAAAATAGCTGGCATGTCATATGTTACTCTCACTCCCCTCAGCAAGCATCAGCCAGCACTGCCTCTGCAATAAACACTTATGCTCCTCATGCAAAAACTGGATCCACTCCTGTTTGGGGGGCAGAGGAGAAACATGCAGCCCAGGTGACCAGCTAACTGAAAACTTGCTCTGGGTCCCATAAGTCTATTCAAGGACAATAGTGCACATTACGTGATCTAACAAACAACTGAAAAACTCATAGGAAATTAAAACTCACCAGGAGGCAGGAAGAGAGTTGCCTTGAGCCGACCTTCTCTGACTGGAATCCTTTCCACCCCCTCTCCCAAAAATTTCCGCTCATTAATGCATTTGCCCAGGAGCTGGCTGGTGATATTGTGGCCCTCAAACACTTCCACATGTACATAGAAAGGGGTGAGGACATTCTTCTTTGCCAGCCGTTTGAAGGGTGTCTTGGATTCCAGTGACCACAGCAGTCCCATGGGTTCTACCCCAGAGTAACTGCCACCCAGGGCTGAGGAGCATGTCAGGTCCAGTTCTCCATTGCTCTCAGCCCTGTAGTAGGCAAAGGACTGGAAAAGTTCCCCACTCTCATCAGTCAGGGATGCCCTCAGAGTGACCTCCTGCAGCGGTGAGAGACCCTCCACTTTAATCTGAATGGGATCATCAAACAAACACTTTGGAGAAGGCAAGACCTTTACACTCACTGCCATCGAGAGTTGGAGGAGGAATTCAGCTTAATGCAAGATACCAGCTGTGTGACACAGGAATTGTCAGAAGCTTTGGCTCTTCTTGAGACTTGCAATCCCTGTCAATGCCAGAGTCCAAAAGGAACTACAGTGTGGGAAGCCCTGTTGCAAAGGTTTCTGGGAGATGTAGTTCAAAATGTACTTCTGGGAGATGGAGTTCAGGAAAGGACAGCACAACTTCAAATGGGGAAGTTTTCATTTGAAGAGGCTGTACCAAAACACCACCAATTCATTCATTCCAGGACTAGTGATTTAATATTTTATAGATAGATACACACAAAATAAAACTCCAATAGTCCTAGAATGAATAAAGAGTCCTTGGGAACCGACAGTGTTTCATATATATGGGGCCAAACTATAAAAACAGTTCCAAACCCCATCTTCTCTCCAGACTTTGGGGAAATTTAGATCTGAACATAGAACTAATCTGGAAATTCATGGCTTGGGCTCTATTAAGGTACACTGAATCCAAATAAGCCTGAATACCCCAAACAGATTCTAATCCAATTATGAATTTGAATTCTGTCTCTTGAGTCCATCTCTAGTTTTCAGTAACTGTTGAACAGGAGCTACATTTGAAAAATAGGTTTAGACTCAAAATTCATTTGTTTCTTTTGAAAGGATTTTTCTTGCAATAACCAGTACTGTCTAAAGTTTCTGCGCATTTTCCTGACTAATAATATATGAATACAAGTTTCTCCCACTAAGCCCTGGTAGAGTAATGCTTGTATGTACCTTTGAAGATCTGTAATAAATTACATTTGGCATTTTATATATTAACAACAATACTGCTGGACATATCTGTTGGGTCCCATATCATGGTACCCAATCCTGCAGTTCTATACTCAGATGAGTAGTTTCACTGAGTTCAATGAAAATATTCATGGAATGGGTGCAGAATCAGGCCCATGGTTCACACAACTCATCGACCATGTATTTCATACATTTTAAGGACAGAGGCACAATTATTCAGTCTAACCTCCGTAACACAAGCCATAGAATTGCAAAATTTCATTAGAAAAGTCAAAGATTATGGTAAATGGGCTTTAGCAAGTGGAATTTTCTGTTGATGGGAATAGACGGGATTTGATTCTCAGTTATTATGAACTCAGAAAAGCAACCTTTAAATCGCCACTAAGAATGTGGGAAGGTACAACTACAAAAAGCCGCACACGACCGTTGGCAATCTGCACAATGAAATGTAGATATGTTTTTACATGGAAAATAATCACAATTGTATCATGATTTCCTGATCACTCCCCTTCCCCGTATCATTTGAGGGTTCCCATAGCTAGTATAGAAATAAGCTTATAAACACGGATATTTTACTGCACAATTTGTATTCTGAATTCTCAAAGCATTACACACAGCCACTGAACACAGTGAATTAAAACTCAGAAAGTATTGTCTCATAATGAATGGGAGTTATCTCAATGAATGGGAGTCTTGGGCTGATGATTACGCTGTTATTGCAGAGCTGGTTTTGCCTCATTACTTTGCCAGTTACCAAACTGGACTGTGGACTATAGCTTTGCATGTTCTCTAAAACCAGTGGTTTTCAAACTTTTTTCTGGTGACCCAGTTGAAGAAAATTGTTGATACCTGCGACCCAACGGAGCTGGGGATGAGGGGTGGGGCCAGGAATGAGGAGTTCAGAGTGTGGGAGGGGGCTCTGGGCTGGGGGTGCAGGCTCTGGAGTGGAGCCAGGCATGAGGGGCTTGGGGTTCAGGAGGGGGCTCCGGGCTGGGGGTGCAGGCTCTGGGGTGGAGCCAGGCATGAGGGGCTTGGGGTTCAGGAGGGGGCTCCAGATTTCAGGGGGGCTCAGGGCTGGGGAAGGGGACTGGGGCACGGGCTTACGTCTGGCGGCTCCCGGTCAGCGGGGCAGCCAGGCTGCAGAGGCAGGCACCTGTCCTGGTACCGCAGACCGCACTGCACCCTGGAAGCGGCCAGCAGCAGGTCTGGCTCCTATGCGGAGGCGCACAATTGGCTCCACGCAGCTCTTGCCCACAGGCGCCGCCCACCCCCGCCTCCAGCTCCTATTGGCTGGTTACCAGCCAATGGGAGTGCGGAGCCAGTGCTCGGGCAGCACATTGAGGCCCCGCCCCCCCACCTATGAGGCGGACCTGCTGTTGGCCGCTTCCGTGACACAGCGCCATGTCAGAACAGGTAGGGACTAGCCTGCCTTAGCCGGGCAGCACCGCTGACAGGACTTTTGACAGCCCGGTCAGCGGTGCTGACCAGAGCGGTCACAACCCAGTGCCTTACATTCCGTGACCCAGTGCTGGGTTGCGACCCACAGTTTTAAAACCACTGCTCTAAAGAATCTAGCAAAGGGAAAGGAACACACATGGTTTACATTTTTGAGGTTTCCAAAACCTGCAGTGGCTCCACTAAAATTCTGCCTTCCTTGAGGCATCTGAGGCTAAGCATGAAGGCTTTGAAATGTCAACAAGCCCTCTCCTGTCAAGCCAAAAAAGATAGCCATTTGGGTTGGAATTTCACTTAACGCCCGCATGATACCATCTCCAAAGGCAAGCAAGACAAATATCCTCTGACTGACATTTGTTGAGGATAATTTAATGTTTAGTTCTTCTAACTCAAGCATATTCGTACTCCAGGCAGACGCATATAATTCAGTCACATTAGAAAGGTTTATGACTGAGTCCCCAGACTCAGCTACACCAGTGTCACAGCTTTTGAGAGAGAATCTAGAAGTTGATAGTAGCTGTACTTCAGGTCATATTCCATGTCATACCAATAATTCACTGAGGAGACAAGAGATAGGAAAATTGTTATTGTCTGGTGTTAGAAATGCCTTTTGGCCATATTCACATGCTGCTTTAGAAGGTAATGCAGGCACTCATTTCTCAAAACTGGATGAACTTTAAAAGAATCCCACCTCTGACTAGAGCCAAGCATAATGCAGGCAGGCAGCGAGTCAGCATCTGTTACATAAACTCTGCCAATGCACCTCAGTCCTTACTCACATTAACCCCCAAAACAACAGTCCTGGGACTCTCCTGAGCAGACTTGCAAAACGTTTAGAAACAGAAAATGTGCGCTATGATCTAGGCCAAGAATACAAATTCATTTTAATTTATGACCTACTCTAGATTTGAACCTCTCTCTCCCCACAGTTTTTAAAGGATGGTGCACTAACCCACCATTTTGCCTTGGTCATCATATGGAAAGTGTTTTAATTTTGCCTCTTAATTAAAATGAAAATTAATACATCTTTTTACCATGCTACGGCAAGTACTAAAATAAATGCCTCCAATATCTGCCAGCGGTGTTATATATTTGCTTTCATAACTAGGTTGATGTTATTCAACACTCATCTGTTACTTATTTTTTCTCTGCATGGAAGGAGTTGCTTTGGCAGAATAGATACAGTAAAGCCCTTCCTTGCATCCTGCAATACAGACAGTAATGGTTTAGGCGTAGAAGAGTAGAAAGGTTTGAAAGTCTGGAGCTCTCTAAGCGGGTGGTGGGGGGAGGGGAGAGAGACAGACACACACACGAGGAGATTTTTGTTAAAAGGCAGAGACAAGAAGTAACTTGTACATTTGTTTGGTTTTCTTTTATGCAATAAAGACTCATTTTTACTGGTCTGATAATAACAGACACTAAAAATCCAAACTTCCTTGTGCAGTTTCTTTGCCTATGGTGTACAGTCAGCCAATTTGCAGCCAGCAATCAAATAACCTGCTTAGCGCTCTCTAACAAAACAAACTATTACAGGGGTGGCTGTGTTTGGCTCTCTCTCTGCAGCCTCAAGGACTAGCTGATTTTTCCTACCTTGTTCATCCATTTCACTACATTCTTTTGCAATTCTATATAAAATATTATCAGAATAGTCTTTGCAAGTAGGTAACACTATAGTCATGTGCCAAGATGGCTAACTCTACCAGGGATAAAGAAGAAAAGACTGTGAAAGTGCCCTTGTACCCAACCATGTTTTGCTGGAGAAAATGGACTATGCCATCATGGATTGAAAATATGTTTGTCACTAACAACTCTTCTTACCTGCTATACAACCATGTGACTGCTTAACATGATGAAACCAGAGAGAAGGGAGGTACAACATCTCACCAGCTTTCACTGTGCACCGCAAAGGCCTTGCCTGGGCATACTCTGGGTATTGTTCAAGATCTGGATTTAAAGGATCCAGTGGAATCCATGGAACCTGCAAGGAGAAGAGTATGTTGTACGTGCAGCATTTAACAAAATATAAAATGTTAGGGTCCCCCAGAAAATGGAGTTGTTAAACAAAAAATTCACTTACTGAACTTGTAATAAAATGTACCAGAAAATATATAGTTGTAAATCCTGTAAAATCCACTTTACCATATTACAAGAATGCTCCTTTCTATAAGATATGGTGATGGATCCTTACATTTACCAAGTACTAACTGCAGACTCTGTTTAGGGCATAGGAAAAGGAATCTGATTGTTTGTGACAGAGGTTACATGGCACGGAATGGACCTGGGATAGAAAATGGACGGGGGGAAAAAGAGCGTACCTGAAGGATTGCTGAATGAAGACAGACATGGTTAGCCTATTGGTAGGAAGTATGAAGGCCAACAAAAGCAGAAGATAAGTTGAGCTTGGGTAACCTACAGTTTTTGGGTGATACACATATGCCAAAATCGAGGAAAGAAGTGGGACCTCTAAACACTGAGGATGGGGTGGAGATTAGAGATAATCTAGGCATGGCCCAACACCTAAATGAATACTGTGCCTCAGATTTTTGGGGGAAACGAGGAGTTTAGGAGTAGTGCCAGGGTGGCTAATGGAAACAAGGATATGGAAGTAGAAATTACCACATCTGTGGTGGAAGTTAAACTCAATCAGCTTAATGGGACCAAATCAGGGGTCTCAGATAGTTCCTTTAATATTCTTGAAGGGAGGTTGACATATAAAATTGCAGGACCAATGACAAGTATTTTTAATGAATATGTAAGATTGGAGCTTGTACCCTACGACTGGAGAATTGGTAATATGTCACTTGTTTCCCAGATCACTCTTTCCCCTTTTTTAAAAATTATAGGCTTATTAGTTTAACCTAAATTGAATGCAAGGTCTTGGAACAAATTTTGAAAGATAGTTAAAGACACAGAGGTAAACAGCAATTGGGATAAAATACATCACGGTTTTACAAAAGGTAGATAGTGCCAGACCAACCTGATGTCTTTCTTTGAGAAGATAACTGATTTTTTTAGCCAAAGGAAATGCAGATCTAATCTTTATGGATTTCAGTAAGGCATTTGATACAGTTCTACATGGGAAATTAGTTAAAGTATTAGAAGATGGGGATTAATATGAGAACTGAAAGGTGAATAAGGAACGAAATTGCAAGCCCATTAGTAAGAATTTTTTATTAATCTGTAAACTCAGGGGTTGTACCGTATGACTGGAGAATTGCTAACATAGTTCCTTTTTAAGAAAGGGAAAAAAAAGCAATTCAGGTAACTACAGGCCTGTTAGTTTGACAGCTGTAGTATGCAAGGTCTTGGAAAAAATTCTGAAGGAGAAAGTAGTTAAGGACATTGAGGTCAATGGTAATTGGGACAAAATACAACATGGTTTTACAAAAGGTGGATCATGCCAAATCAACCTGATCTCGTTCTTTGAAAAAGTAACTGATTTTTTAGACAAAGGAAATGCCTTACTGAAATTGAGATAAATTAGATCCACTGCATTTGATACGGTTCCACATGGGGAATTATTAGCTAAATTGGAAAAGATGGGGATCAATATGAAAATTGAAAGGTGGAAAAAGAACTGATTAAAGGAGAGACGACGACAGGTCACACTGAAAGGTGAACTGTCAGGCTGGAAGAGGTTACTAGTGGAGTTCCTCAGGGATCGGTTTTGGGACCAATCTTATTTAATCATTTTATTACTGACATTGGCACAAAAAGTGGGAATGTGCTAATAAAGTTTGCCGATGACACAAAGCTGGGAGGTATTGCCAATACAGAGAAGGATGGGGATATCATACAGGAAGATCTGGATGACCTTGTAAACTGGAGTAATAGTAATAGGATGAAATTTAATAGTGAGAAGTGTAAGGTCATGCATTTAGGGATTAATAACAAAAAAATCTGTTATAAGCTGGAGATGCATCACTTGGAAGTAACAGGGGAGAAGAAGGACCTCGGAGTATTGATCGATCACAGAATGACTATGAGCCGCCAATGTGATATGCCATGAAAAAACCTAATGCAGTCTTGGGATGCATCAGGCGAGGTATTTCCAGTAGAGATAAGGAGGTGTTAGTACTGCTTTACAAGGCACTGGTGAGACCTCATCTGGAATAGTGTGTGCAGTTCTGGTCTCCCATGTTTAAGAAGGATGAATTCAAACGGGAACAGGTACAGAGAAGGGCTACTAGGATGATCCGAGGAATGGAAAACCTGGCTTATGAAAGGAGACTCAAAGAGCTTGGCTTGTTTAGCCTAACCAAAAGAAGACTGAGGGGAGATATGATTGCTCCCTATAAATATATCAGAGGGATAAATACCAGGGAAGGAGAGGAATTATTTAAGCTCAGTACCAATGTGGACACAAGAACAATGGATATAAACTGGCCACCAGGAAGTTTAGACTTGAAATTAGACAAAGGTTTCTAACCTTCAGAGGAGTGAAGTTCTGGAACAGCCTTCCAAGGGGAGTAGTGGGGGCAAAAGACGTATCTGGCTTCAAGACTAAGCTTGATAAGTTTATGGAGGAGATGGTATGATGGGATAGCCTAATTTTGGCAATTAATTGATCTTTGACTATTAGCGGTAAATATACCCAATGGCCTGTGATAGGATGTTAGATGGGGTGGGATCTGAGTTACTACAGAGAATTCTTCCCAGGAGACTGGTTGGTGGGTCTTGTCGACATACTCAGAGTTCAGATGACTGCCATATTTGGGGTCGGGAAGGAATTTCTCCCCCAGCTCAGATCGGCAAAGACTCTGGGGGTTTTTCGCCTTCCTCTGCAGCATGGGACATCATGTCTCACTTGGTGATTTAAACTAGAGTAAATCGTGGATTCGCTGTAATTTGAAGTCTTTAAATCATGATTTGAGGACTTCACTAACTCAACCAGAGGTTATGGTTCTATTACAGGATGGACTTGGTGAAGTTCTGTGGCCTGCGATGTGTAGGAGGTCAGACTACATGATTACAATAGTGCCTTTTGGCCTTAAAAATCTATGAATTTAGAGCAACTGTATAATTTTATAACTGCAATCTTTATCCCTTCTTATCCTCCTTTTCGTCATGTCTAAAATTGAATTGTAAGCTCTATGTACTTATTAGCCTGCATTACCAGGATATCTAAACACTTCCTAATCTTTCACATATTTTCCCTCAACACCTCTGTGTATTACTACTGAAGTATTACTATCCTCAATTTACAGCTGAAGAACTGAGGTGCAAAGAGGCTGAGTGACTTCCCCAAGGTCACATAGAATGTCTATGGTGGAACAGGAAACTGACCCAAGCCCCCCAATCCCAGGCTAACACCCTGGGCACTGGGCCATACTTCCCCTCTTTGGGACAGGGATCTAGTATTTGTATATAGTTTTGTATGGTGTCTCCTTTCAATCATTCTGACCAAATAATAATTACTACTATGAATAAAAATGGTTTATAAAGATAACTACTATGTTTATAGCACCAGAACATTTTTTCTAGGATGAAATTCACCCCTCTGCAGAGGGCCAACACAATGTATGCACAGCAGTGAAATTCACCCTTGATGAGCTAAATTCCTTTATCTGGTATTATTTAAAAAGACTTTTAATGGACCCGTTTGTGTTCAGCGCACAGAAGACATTATTTTGAAAGGCTATTCCTTTAACAGCTATTGATTTCAATGGTTCCCAGTTTGCAGTTAGAGAGGCATCTTAGAAACAGGACATACTCAAATAATAACCACAGAAACTTGCAAGGGGTCACAGGGCACAGTGGAATACCTGAAACTACTTTTGACTAATTTTTTTTTAAATTGACAGGTTGACAAGTTGATGGTGTTCTTTTAATACAAAGATGTCATAAGTACCTTGTCTGCAGCCTTTTCATCCACAACCTGAAACGAACCATCTTCTGATATGCAATACGTCGCAGGCAGGTAGAGCTCTGAAAGTGTAGAGCATGGAAAAGGTTAAATGGCATTAATCTCAATAAAAAATACAGAGTCTTAGTGACATAGTACATGACACTTTCACAGATGGACTCAAATATTAAGATACCATCACACAACCACCATTTCCAGTTCTCTTTCCTCTGCTTCCTTCTTCCCTTTGTTCATTCCGTGACACGTCCTTCAATTTCTGTCCTCCCTATTACCAGCTCCGCACTCCTCTATCACAATGTTTTCCAATGCCTCCCTTTTCTAGGGCTCTGTCCTCTCTTCCTTCAAATGAATTATTTTTTCCTTTTCCTCAACACACATACGCCTACCTTCTCTTGATCCTACTTTGTTCCAATTACCATCCCACTTCCCTTTTCCAAGTCACAACTTCTCCCCTATCTTACCCAGTATTCTATTCTCTGTCCTTTCTGCTTTGGTCATTCTACCAAGAGAGCTTTCATTGGAGTTCTTAATGACCTGTGGCTAACCTTTCACTTCTAGTTTTATCTTATTTGGCTTATCAGCCATTTTAGAAAACCTGGGCTTCTCTTCTTTCATTGCTTCTGCACATGTGGTTTTCTGATTCTGCAGTCCAATGCTGATTGCACTTTTGCTGATCTTTAGATATTATGATAATATATAAAAACAACACACACAAACTGGTATTAATCCTTCATTAGAGTTACAAATCTAAAAGCTCAAAAGTCAGGGAGTAAAAATAATTAAGGTTCTTGTGAACAGGTTCACATAGCCCATCTTATATACCATATGTTGTGCACATTAATATTTATGTTAAATGTATACTTGTAAAAGTAACAGAGAAATAGGAAATAAAAGCTATGGGTATTCTGGTCAAGCTAATGTTAGTATAAGAACCTTATTGTGTTCTTTGTTAGATTTCAGCATTTACATTTGTAACTTTAATTTTTCGTTAATGTACATATTTGTATTTAATTTCCCTGCTTTTTTCCAGAAAGAAAGAGAATCAGCAGAAGGAATCAAGAACTACTGCACATGAGGATCCTGCAAGCTTCACCACAGAGGAGATATTTTAATAATTCTAAAGCTGGAGGAATTCCAGCCAGTCCGACACTTAGAGCACAGATCCAGGTGCCAGATCCTCAGCTGGTATAAATCAGAGTAACTCCACTGAAGTCAATAATTTATACCAGCTGAGGATCCAGCCCCAAGAACAGAAATCTCTACTACTCCAAATAGTAAGTATTTGGTAATAGATTTCTATTCACATTGCAAAATGTAACACTGAAAATGTTATTAGAACGTTATTCCTGTCTCTACCTTTCATTAATTTGGACACTTCTCTTTACACATTTATACACACTCTCAAGCATGTACCATAGGGGATGAAGGGCCGGTCACTTGGTGGATGCAGTAGAAAATGTTTCTCGCCGGAAATCACACAGTACAAGTTCTCGTAGTGATCTTTATGTACTAAAATTGAGAAAGAAGAAAAGCACCACATCACAAATTGTAGCAAATTGAAAGTGACAGCTCTTATTGGCAGTGGTAGGCTGCTTCTTCTTCTTGTGGCCAGAGGAGAAAAATAATAATGAAATAATATTTCATATGTATGCAGCACTTTTCATCCAAAAGGATTCCAAACTACTTCACCAGCAACATAGAGAGAGCAATACAGAAAAACAGTCACTTCTGGGGTGGAACCTGGCAAGCAACCTGCACAGAAACACACTGATCAACAGTTTGAGGGCAGGCAGGAATTTTGGCTAGTGTCTCCGCTTATGAACATGTCCTGAGATCTTCAGTGTCCAAGGAGAGCAGACATTACCTCATTTTTTAAAAGTCTCATCCAAAATACCGCCACACAGAGCAAATTGCAAGGTACTCAATCTACCTCAGAAGAATACAGGGCTGAGTCAACAATTCCAGGAACTGAAACTGTGATTCCAGAGAGTAAATGTATTTCAAATTTGATGACTACACCACTAAACCATCCATTTCTGCTCTGCTCTAAACTCAAAATTTCACAGAAAGGAGATGGCTAGGACAAAAAAAGAGAAACACAGGAGCTGCCATACCACCTCAGACCAGTGATCTAGCAAGTCCAGTATTCAACGTACTGTATGGGAGTTGCTAATAAACTTCAGAAGAGGAGGAAAATACCCATAATGTTATTAATTGTGCAAAGTTCTACTAGGGAAGGGAGAATCCTACCTGACCTTTACAGCAATTAGCCTGAGTTATGAAGCATGAGACTGAAATTTGATTGCTTTACTTTATACCCAGGTGCAAGATTTATAGGACAGAAACTCTCAATATTCCACCTGAAACAATAAGCCAGATGCACATACAGATACAGCAGTCAAGTGCTGGGACAAGGTGGGTAGGAAGAAAGATCATTACATATGAAGACGACAGTTAAAGTACAACCTATCCATTAGGATTTCACAAAGAGACCTACCCACCTTACCCCTCAAAACAAGTATGTCAAAATCTGAGCTGAGGGCACATACAAGACCTGACAGCATTATATGCTACGCACAGGATGTCACAGCAGCAGACTCGCCAAGCCAGAAATTCACAGCATCAGGCTTCTTTCCTGCAAGGGGAGGAAGAGGAAGTGATTTTTAACAGAAAATTAATTTGAATGTTATGTTTAAAGAGCTGCAGATGAAGATTTTTCCGCCAACTCAGTTTGTTTATATTCTCCACCCACCTCAGTAAATATGTCAGCCTTGATCTCCAATAGCTAATAATTAGGAGCTCCTTCTAGACTGAAGGCTGTCGCAGAGACACACCATACTAACTGATGGAGCATTATTCATCCCCAAGGCTGTGCTTTTGACCTTCAGCTCACATTTTCTGGAGACCTGGTTCCCCAATACATAGCTCAAATCACAAAATAGCACTTCAGGTACCAAAACCCCAAAGGGATCAGGAGAACCACATTAAAAGGAATGAATTATGCTCTAGCAGGAAAGTAGACTGTAACGAATAATCCTTTACTACCATAAGCAAGCACCTTCAACCGCACAACAAGGGACAGAAAGGTAATATTAACGCAGCACTCTAGAGTATTGTCTATAATAGACTTTAAAAAAAAATTCCACTTTTGCTATCAGTTTAGCTCCACAGGTGGTAGCAACACCCTGAACAATAGTGTAGACAGGGCCCCAGGAAGCCGCCAACCTTTTTGCCACTTGTGGATGAAAATTATGTATATTAATACAATAGCACAGTTTCACACTCTATGAACCTGCTAAGCAAGCAAGCTGTTTTGGAGTCCTCCAATCCACAGGGCAAGGTTAAGCTATTTTACGACCCCTCTCCTTCCTGAGTTGACAAAGCCATACTAACCTGTGCCAATTAGAAAGATAACAAAAATATTTGGCATGTAAACATCACAGAAGTTTAAAGTGCTATATAAAGTATTCACTGATTGCAGGGGGTGTTTACCGAGTGCCTCACTCATCCACGGTACCTCAGGCTCCACATCACCTAAAAGTTCAGGGAACTCCTCAGTCAGGTTTGAACACTGCTTCTGCACATAGAACACACTTGGAGAGATCACTTTCTTCTCCACAATGTCCAAGAAGTTGCTGAAAAGCATGTGCCGCTCCTCCGGCATGACAAACCGGTCCTGATAAACAGCATCAGCATAACCATTAGGCGTCACTGCCACACTCACCATCTTGGAGCCTGCTACCTTCCTGCAAAATATATCTGAGGTTCAGAGCCAATTGAGGAATCTACAAACATGTACTTTAGACAATTTTTTAAAATCACAATTTGCTGTGTGGATGTACTGAGAAATCCTCTCTCTTGGACACAGAAGTTTCAATTACTGAATTATTTCATGTCCACACCTGGGATTTTTGTTGTTTTTAAAAAACAAAAAACAAACTAAGAGGTGCTTAGGTTTTGGGTTTTTTTTAATAATCATAACTAATGCCACCAGGGCCAACTGAGGCAATGCTGCCAAACCTACAGCCACAGAAAACCCACTCCAATCAGAATAGGATGAAATGCCAGCACGTTTCTGCTCACGCACCACAGTTCACAAGGTGTGCAGCATTGACTGCTTTGTGCTGAATGAGTGCTTTAGTGAAAATCTGATTCTGCTGGGGAACCAAGACATCACTATCTATTGTAGCCCTGACTGGAGCACTCTGCACGTTCCTCCTGTTTAACAAGAAGCTCGGAAATACTATTTCCCTATCTCTCTCTCTCCCCACACACAAGTTCTGGCACACAAAAACCAAATCTCCCATATCCTTTAATGGAACTAAGTATAGTACAGTAGTTGGGGGAAGAAAGTAACTTCGGAATTTTGGGTGCTGCAGCTGGGATGCCCAACAGAAGTCTTCACATAGGATTCCAGGTTCATTTGAGCCAGTCTTATCAATAATTTAAAAAACCGAACAAGAAGCTCTCTTCTGATGGTTTGTAATGTTCAGCTGAGCTACTGCCTAGCTTCAAAGTGGATTCCTACCTGAGATAAGTTAACGTCCACTTCTTCAGAGCTGGCCAGTGACCGAAGGCATTCTGAATTATACATGGTTTGTTTGGACACACCCATTCCCGATAAAATTCCAGCGGAGACAAAAGGCTATCTAGGTATGGCACAGATTCCGTCAGTCCCAACTCTGCCCAGACAAAGAAAAAAATCTATCTTACAGAAGTCTTGAAAGCAGTTCAAGCCATCTCTACACCGTACTAATCGATTTTAAAACAAGTTAGAAAGTTTCCCCAGTGTAGACAGGACCATGGAGACTACACATCCCTACATTCAGTGCTCCAGCTTAGAACTGGTCATGCTCTATGCTGGAATCTGTAGTCTCCAGGGGTCAAAACCCTACATATTGATGAGGTGGTCTTCACTGTCAGACTCAGCACATGCAAAGCCACACAACTGGCCACAACTTGTTTCAGACTATTGGTTGCTGTGATTCATCTCCCACATGATAACACTTCATACAGACAAAAGACTAAAAGAAGGAAACAGCACCAATGGTGGGGCTCATACAACAAAGATGCCTAGAGATAGCCTCACCTTCTGAAACATTCAGCACCTCTCATCAGATGACTTTCATTTAGGTTCCTACATGTAATTTAGAGACCTGACTTTAAGGCCATTTTGCAAACTGGGAGCCTAAAAATCATTATTGTCTACGCAAATAAATATATAATACATGCTCTGCTGGCAAACAAATCTATAGGTTTTTTTTTATTATTATTATTAGAGATTACACTAAACCAAAGGCAGAACATAGGAGAACCATCTCTAAACACAATGTTTTTCAAAGTTTCCCACATGGGGCCATTGGATCTTTAGCAGTAACCAGCAACGGATTTTTTTAACCGTTGGATTTGTGCACTGCTTTGCTTCTCCACAAAGTACGACAAAGACCCAAAGTGGTTCTCCCCACGTCCTTCTCTGCTAAGTTTGTACCTTTGGTGGCATCAGGAATGTAAAGTCTGGCCTTCCCTGATTTTGCTGCAAGACCTCGGGGGGGAGGGGAGGTTTATTACTGGCTCTCCCACCTTCGCTACCGGGCCAGGGGGTGTCCATAGCCTCACAGAGCCAGGGGGTTAGAAGGGACCGCAACGGTCCCCGAGTCCTTCACTAACGGTCTTTCTCCAGCGTGTCCGCTGGGCACTGGCGTGAAGGGAGGGGGACAGACAAACCCTGCAGCTGCCACGCGCTGGGACTCAAACCCCTTCCCCGCGCTGGGCGAGGCGGGGCGGTTCCCCTTCCCTCGCCTTGCGGGCGCCACAGAGCCCGACCCTCTCAAGCCCCCGTGAGGCGAGGCGAGGCGAGGCGAGGACACGCCCCTCCCCCTGCGCAGGGACCTTGGGATGGTGGGGCCGCGCCACCAGGGAGCTCCCAGCCCCCCCTGCCCTCAGGCCAGTGGCAGCCAATCAGGGCCCGGCTCGCTCGCGCTCACCCCTGGCCTCCGCCGGGAATGCCGCCAGGCACCTCCGCACCGCCCGCAGCGCCGGCACCTCCCCTTCCCCATCCGCACCCGCCATCCCTAGGCAGGCGCGGCCGCCAGCCGGCCGGACTAACGTCACCCCTGACGTAGTCACGCACCTCGACGCAACGTGCCGCTCGGCGCCTAATGAGCATGCTCAGTAACATCTGCTGAAGCCGCTGCCCTCGCTCTGCCCTTACTTGGGATTCCAAGTGCTCAAGGGGGCAGGTCGGGGGCGGAGTCTGCGCAGGGCCAAGCGAGCGCACGCGCGAGTCAAACAGCTGGAGGCCGGGGCCAAGGGGCGGGTGCCGGGTTTGGGGATGGCCTGCCAGGCAAAGGGGATAAAGTTACCCCAGCTGGGGTGAGCCTTCTGCGCTGGCTGCAAAAGCAGGGCGCATCTCAGCACCAGGTTCCCAGGGTGGGGTTGTTAACGGCGAGGTGCAGCCTCTTGCTTTGGATTGAGCTGCGAAAGGAGATCGGTCTGAGTGATGCGTTTTACATGCGGCCACACCCTTGAAAATTAGAATTGTCACACCTGGTTGTACTAGTATCAGAGGGGTAGCCGGCCCTGTTACTCTGGCTCTGTAAAAGCGGCAAAGAGTCCTGGGGCACCTTATAGACTAACAGACGGATTCGCGCTTAAGCTTTTGTGGGTGAATACCCCCTTTGTCAGATGCATGCATCTGACGAAGTGGGTGTTCACCCACGAAAGCTTATGCTCCAATACGTCCGTTAGTCTATAAGGTGCCCCAGGACTCTTTGCTGTGGTTGTACTAGTGTTTAAACGAAATCCCGTAGCAGTTCCTATACCCGCATAGAGCCCCACAGGCATTCGCTGAGCTGAGCTACTGTTCCGCTTGTCTGAACCGAACAGCCTTGTCCTTATAATCCACCACAGACTGTGGGTTCACTTATTTACTTTTTCAAATGTTGTTTTTATTGCTGCCTCTTAGCCCTTCATTTACCTCTGTTAACACTGTGAAGAGGGAGGTTATTGTGCTATTTAACTTATATTTTTGATAGCAAATAATCATTGAAAATATTAATAGTTGCTTGCTAATAGCCTCTGCAGTGACAGCTCATCGTGTTTCCACTATAATGCTTCCTGGTTATATTGCCATAGTAGTTTTTAATTCTACGCCTGCATTTTTGGGAGAAGTTTCTTGTACACAAATGTATTCTTTGGGATCATATGACATCAAGACTGACTGATTTCCTTAGTTAATGTCAAAACTTCTCCAGTTTCATTTGATCCACCAACAGGGATTACCTTTGTCAATTGTTATTTTGCCTCTCTATCAAGCACCCTAGTGCTTTTTCACATGTCAACACTTGTACATAGAACTTGGTTCCTAAATATTCATTCCAGGCCTGATTTTTAAAAGTTGAAAGCTCCTGGATGCTTTTGAAAATCCTGCTAGTCACCTAAAGACCTTCAAAAATCTGGTTCTAGGGGCAATCTTGTATGAAATCTTTCTCAGAGGCTAATTTCTATTGTAATTTTTATTAAATATAGGTGCACAACCCCAAAATAGCTTAAGAACCACAAGAAATCAAAAATCATGAGTTATGCATCGAAAAGTAATTAAATTAATAAACAAATACATTGGTTTTTTTTTATTTGCCATTTTGTTTCTGAGCCCTTAGGGCACACTAGCTTCATACTTTTGCTGTTACCTTGCCCAAAGAATCCATATATACCTAAAACATTTGTACATTCCTGTAACATTCAATACCATTTTGGACTTTTCCAGTAACATGTGAATCCCCCCCTTGCTTTGTAATTGAAAACTTATTAAAAATCCTTATTTCTGTAAGTAACTCCCCATCCTGTGAAGTGCACACCATGATCTTATTACTCCTTTGTATTCGTTGGCCAGGTGAGCATAGTGCTGACCTCACCTAGTTTGCCTTTTGGTGAAACTAAAGTGCCTTGTCCCCATTATGTTTTTACAGTGGGATAGTTAATGCATGTTAGGTTTCAGAGTAGCAGCCATGTTAGTCTGTATTCGCAAAAAGAAAAGGAGTACTTGTGGCACCTCAGAGATTAACAAATTTATTTGAACATAAGCTTTCGTGAGCTACAGCTCAATTCATCGGATGCATGTCAAGGATCCTTCCCCACTCTGAACTCTAGGGTACAGATGTGGGGACCTGCATGAAAAACCCCCTAAGCTTATTTTTACCAGCTTAGGTTAAAAGTTCCCCAAGGTACAAACTATTTTACCTTTTGCCCTTGGACTTTATTGCTGCCACCACCAATCGTCTAATAAATATATAACAGGGAAAGAGGCCACTTGGAAACGTCTTTCCCCCCAAAATCCTCCCAAACCCTACACCCCCTTTCCTGGGGAAGGCTTGATAAATATCCTCACCAATTTGCATAGGTGAACACAGACCCAAACCCTTGGATCTTAAGAACAATGAAAAAGCAATCAGGTTCTTAAAAGAAGAATTTTAATTGAAGAAAAAGTAAAAGAATCACCTCTGTAAAATCAGGATGGTAAATCCCTTACAGGGTAATCAGATTCAAAACATAGAGAATCCCTCTAGGCCAAACCTTAAGTTACAAAAAGACACAAAAACAGGAATATACATTCCATTCAGCACAACTTATTTTATCAGCCATTTAAACAAACAGAATCTAACGCATATCCAGCTAGATTACTTACTAAGTTCTAAGACTCCATTCCTTTTCTGTTCCTGGCAAAAGCATCACACAGACAGAGAGAACCTTTGTCCCGTCCCCCCAGCTTTGAAAGTATCTTGTCTCCTCATTGGTCATTTTGGTCAGGTGCAAGTGAGGTTATCCTAGCTTCTTAACCCTTTACAGGTGACAGGATTTTTCCTCTGGCCAGGAGGGATTTTAAAGGGGTTTACCCTTCCCTTTATATTTATGACACACCCCCCAAATCACAGATAGGGTGGAACACTGTCTATGATTTCTTCCTGGAGCGCTAGGAGAAAACAGAGTTAATAAGACACATGTATCTCTAAATGTACTACCAAGTATATAAAGACTAGCAATATTTTCCACATCTCAAGGACGATTTTAACCAGTTGATTCTGGGAAACTTTCAAGGGAGAGTGCATCAGCCACTTTGTTAGAAGCTCCTGAGATGTGTTGGATGTCGAAATCAAAATCTTGGAGAGCTAAACTCCACCGAATAAGTTTTTTGTTATTTCCCGTGGCGGTATGAAGCCACTGTAGCGCAGCCTGGTCGGTTTGCAGGTGGAAACGCCGTCCCCAAACATATGGGCGTAGCTTTTCCAGAGCGTAGACAATGGCATAAGCTGTAGCTCACGAAAGCTTATGCTCAAATAAATGTGTTAGTCTCTAAGGTGCCACAAGTACTCCTTTTCTTAATGCATGTTAGTTATCCTACAGTAAAAACTCACATTTTCTTAGCACTGAGGACACAGACTATAATGCTGACTTAGATGTTAAATGAACTATTATTATTAATAGCTTGATGATGCTGATACTGATTGGGTGGCTAACATTGCTCCTTCACCATTAATGGTATTTGCAGCTGAATGCCCCCCACCCCACCCATTTGTGTGGGAGTCATGGAAAACTAGTTAAAATATTTTAAACTCAAGGAATTAAGAGGCTCCCCCCCTCCCCTTAACTTCTTTTGTTCCCTTCCCTTTCCTTATTAAGGGCTTGGCTACATGGAGGGACACTAAAGGTGTGAAATTAAGGCACTATAACTTATGTGCATTAACTTTCTTTGGATATAGCTACACAGCAAAGAAAAAGCCATGGATGGCCCATGCCAGCCAACATGGGCTTGGGCTGTGGGGTTGTTTCATTGCTGTGTAGCGTTTCAGGCTCAGGCTGGAGCCCGAGCTCTGGGACTGGGCTGGGTGGGAGGATCCTTGAGCTCAGAAGTCTATACAGCAATGAAGCAACCCCGCAGCCCAAGCCCTGCAAGCCCGATTAGGCTTTTTCTTTAGGGATTTTTCTTTACTGTGTAGACATACCCTACGCAGATACTCTCATTCAGAAGTAAAGTTGGTTTCGTTTTGGCAATGTCAGTCAGAGTGACCATAGAAGACTGCAGGAGTCCTTCCCCCAAACACCGTTAACCACTGAGGTCTTGACATGTCTTTTTAAGTATTCTAGAGTTGAGGTGTTACCCACATTTGATGTTTTAAGTCCAAAGAGAAGGAGCAAAGCAGTGGAGCACTCAACTTCCGTGAGTGATACCCTGTGTAGAAAAGCCTTTGCAATATTTCACCAGGTATCAGTTTTGGCCTGACAAAGTTTCAATACCTGAGTTAAGGTTAACA